AAAAAAGGTAAAGAACCGTAAGAATGTATGGCCGGGAGTGGGAGAATCCGTGTTTTTGTTGTCATTTATTAAATATTTAATTAATTAAATTTGCATTGTATAATTTAATGATAAATATCACAATTTTGTCTGCCATATGTGGCAGTGAAATTCAAGTGGATTTATTTTTTTCTCTCCACGGATTTATAATTGTCTGAATGTGACAATGATAACTCAGGCATTTAATTAATAGTTAAAATTGCTTGGGTCAACGCACGAATGATCATGATGGACACTACAATCAAATATGCTCAGCTTAGCTTATGTGCTTCGTAAATAATGATAATATTTTATCCCATATGCCTGCGATTGCCAGCTACAAGCTTAAAGCTTTTTCTTCTTCTACTTCTTCAACTTCTTCTTCTTCTTTTTTTCCTGTACAAAACCCGCAAGGAGGTGTTGTCTATTTCCTGTATTTGCGTCTCAAACTGTCAACGATAATCTTCACGCATGACAAATTCTTCATGGCACACAAGAGAAAAAAAACCCAAGTGCAGAAAGAGGAAGAGGGCTACCCTCCATTTGTTCAAGTGTCGACGTTTCTTTCCGATTCTCTTGTATTTTTCTTTTCAACATTTTTTTAGCGCTTCTGTGTGCTCTATATCTCGCTTGCATCCTGTCATCGCAAGGTAAAGCATTAAAAGAAATAAATAAAAAATATGTGAGATTAAAAAAAAAAAAATAACAATCCGCACTTGTCATCGTATTTTTTCACTCTTTGGATAAATCCTGTTACAAAGCTGTGGCTAAATTAAACAGTGGAACTCTAATATTTTATATAAATATTTAATAATGCACGTTAAATGCAATATTATGTCATGCATTGCATTTTCATATTTTTACTCTATTATTCGTTATAATTGTACACGGTCGTCCCATTGTCGTGAGGCAAATGGTTTCGTTTGAAAAATTATTAATGCAAACAAAAAATGAGAAAAGTTTGATTATAATAATTATAAAAAATCAATACTGAACTGCGTTGTTAATAAAAAAAAATCCATTTTTTTTTTACTGAGGAATATTATTGTAAAAAAACTTTTTTATAAAATTACAGGTTTTCCTGAAAAAAAAAAAAATATCTTTATTCACTACGATAATACTAATTGACAAAAAGCTCAACTTTTTGATTTAATTATTCAACATGAAAGAAAAATAATAACGATATTGAATGAAATCTTATAACTTTATTAGATATAAATAAACTTTTCTCTTGACATAAAATTCAATAAAAAACTTGACCTAGACAAATAACTTTGTCTCTCAAATGAATCGATTCCGCTTACATTCACTCAGCAAATAAAGTTTGTCATGGAGAATCGATACACTTTGAGTGCGAGACGATGATAAAAAATTTACAAGTCCATTTTGTATGGCCACACAACATTATTTTATCTGCCTCAATGACAATTCGAGAGATCGTCTAAAGAAAAAATAAAATTGCACGATATGTTTTATATCTAAATTTTTAATACATATGTGACACGTACATAGAAAGACGTATACAAACATTTTATTTCTCTCTGTTGTCTATGTATATGTCGTACAAAGTCAGACGTTAAAGTAAAGCTGCACGAGCTACGTTTGTGTTCAATTGCACACAGTACGACTGTAAATATTTAATTAGAAAGGTCGTAATATCCTGACTGGCAGTATTTGTATATAATTTTATTGTAGTTATCCTTACAGTAGTTGGTAGTTTATTATACACGTTATTGCTTATGTTAAATGATTCTCTTTGTGAATAAAATTATTTAGTACTCATTAAAGTATTTCATTACGGTCTGGTTATTGTTTTATCTTAATTAGGTCAATCGTATATGATATGAATTTAATCATATTTTATCTTTATTTACGTGGTAAATAATATTTATATATATATATATTTTTTTATTTATTCAATACTGCATCTTTTTTATGTTACTTTTGTTATTCTTTTCACTCTGTCTATTGTTCTTCTCTTTATACTTTATTATATAAGTAAGCGTGAGTGGTATGAACAATTCACTTCGATCATGAAATTCGTCTTTCCTCTCTCCTCCTTTTTTGTGCTTTTATCATGATATCTTTGTTTTTAATTGAATTACTACTAAAGTGCATCAGATTCTTACATTGTAAAATGATATTTTTCTTGAGAAAATTTTTAAGTTTTACTACTTTTTTGCTTTAAGGATACTATAACTTTACTTTTGCATTAAATATTTTATTCATAAATAAGTTTTTCTTTTTTATATAAATGGTTGAAAGTTTATGAAACATAAAGAGTGAATTAAAATAAATCGAAAAAGTGATTAGCAAATATTGAATAATAAAATTGAATTGTGTAAAATAGAATACAATCATCTGATAGGAAAAATTTATATTTTTTAATGGAATCTGAGAGACTGTCGTACATTGATTCGTTTGTGAGATAAAAGCATTTAACGTTAAAAGTGAATTTATTGTGTAGAAAGCTAATAACTCGGTTAAAAAAATTCGTACGACGGTGAAAGCAAATTAAAAGAAAACGCACAGCTATTGTATATGACCGTGAGATTAAATTAATTTTTCTTTTAATTCTGTAGAGGCTTTTAGAGTTGATGTAAAATTCAAATTCTCTATTGCTGATAGTAGCTCTGTAGCTATTAATGATAATGGAATCGAAAAAATATTTCATGCTATTAATTTAATTATATATTGAAAATACTTATGAGGAATTATTGTGTATGATCATAATTATCTACAATACAAACGATTTTATTTGCTGATTACTTTTTTTCTGAATTGTTTAAAGAGCAAACTAATTCTATGTAACTTATCACAGTGGATTAATTTATCGAGAATCATTTAATGCAGAACAAAATTCTTTAAAATTCATAAAAGTGTTTTGAATAATCCGTATAAAAAAGCTTCGTTCCCTAAAGCTCCCCTCGTAAAACTACAGGGGACGTTTGGGGAGATAGATTTTTTTTTTGCAAATTTTTCCTCTCTACTCCAAACGTAGGTGAAATATTTTCTAGTTGCAAAAACAACATATTTAATAGAATTAATGAAATATAATGGCGGATGATATTGGCGGAACACTGTAAGATATGAAAATGTGCATAACTTTCATGCTAATAATGCTACGGGGTTGATCGAGGGCTTAAATGAAAGATCTCGACGAGAGAGATAGAGTCGATATAGTTGAAATCATACTTGGAGCATAGTTTTTGCTAAAATTAAGGGAAGTTCCGGTTTTACCCCAGTTTGAGGGTGAAAAATTAATTTTTCTAATGTTTGACCTGATTCCGCATTTCTACGCATCGAGACGAAGAGAATGAGTCCTCAATCATCAAAATCGGACAACTTTGATTTTTCGACCCTAAAAAATGGCAAGTGGTACCCCTTTCCATTTTTTTTGGCCAAAAAATAAAAGTTCTCCGATTTTCAAGTTCGACCACTCATTCTCTTCGTCTTGATGTGTGGAAATGCGGAATCGGGGCACCGCCCAGAAAAATTCACTTCAACACCCTTAAAAGGGGGTAAAACTAATTACACATAAAAAATGATCATCCCCTTGACTTTAAACCCTTATAACTCATGAACGGACAGTCCAATAATCATTTTCAGGGACGTTTTAGAAACCTAAGAATCTAAGCTATCTGACAATATCCATAGATTTATCGAGAAAAATTTCTTTCACTCTTAAAATCGCTAAAATATAAAAAAAAATCACATTTTTTTAGGAGTTTGCCAACTATTTCGGCGATTTTGAGGGTGAAATAAATTTCTTAGACTGTTTTTATGGATATGTATCTTTAGCTTAGATTCTGAAGTTTCCAAATACTCCCTAAAAATCATTATTCGATGACTTGTACAATAGTTATAGAGGTTTAAAGTCAAACAGTAGATCATTTTTGACCCTTACTTCAACTTTGGACCTCTATAACTATTGTACAAGTCATCGAATAATGATTTTTCAGAGATTTTTGAAAACTTCAGAATCTAAGCTAAAGATACATATCCATAAAAACAGTCTAAGAAATTTATTTCACCCTTAAAATCGCTGAAATAGTTGGCAAACTCTTAAAAAAATGTGATTTTTTTTTATATTTTAGCGATTTTAAGGGTGAAAGAAATTTTTCTCGATAAATATATGGATATTGTCAGATAGCTTAGATTCTTAGGTTTCTAAAACGTCCCTGAAAATGATTATTGGACTGTCCGTTCATGAGTTATAAGGGTTTAAAGTCAAGGGGATGATCATTTTTTATGTGTAATTAGTTTTACCCCCTTTTAAGGGTGTTGAAGTGAATTTTTCTGGGCGGTGCCCCGATTCCGCATTTCCACACATCAAGACGAAGAGAATGAGTCGTCGAACTTGAAAATCGGAGAACTTTTATTTTTTGGCCGAAAAAAAATGGAAAGGGGTACCACTTGCCATTTTTTGGGGTCGAAAAATCAAAGTTGTCCGATTTTGATGATCGACCACTCATTCTCTTCGTCTCAATGTGTAGAAATGCGGAATCAGGTCAAACATTAGAAGAATTAATTTTTTCACCCTCAAACTGGGGTAAAACCGGAACTTCCCTTAATTTTAGCAAAAACTATGCTCCAAGTATGATTTCAACTATATCGACTCTATCTCTCTCGTCGAGATCTTTCATTTAAGCCCTCGATCAACCCCGTAGCATTATTAGCATGAAAGTTATGCACATTTTCATATCTTACAGTTTTCCGCCAATATCATCCGCATTATATTTCATTAATTCTATTAAATATGTTGTTTTTGCAACTAGAAAATATTTCACCTACGTTTGGAGTATGTTCGAGGAATGTTTGGGGAACGAAATTTTTTATACGGGAACCGCAAAAAAAGTGAAAAAGCTTCCCAAGCGGTAGTAGGAATACTAGAGAGAAAATGAAGGCGGAGAGAGAAAGAAAGCACACAGGAATCAGGAGAGAAACAAATTCAAACTTGTCCGAAATGCCAATTGTTCCAGGACCTTAAGAAGCGCGGTTCCCACACCTGCGACATGCAGGCCCTACAGCCACTTCCGGTTCCCACTACCAACACCACGCCTGCCATGACTACTTCCGGTGGGCAGCCACCGCTTCCGGTATCAGAGACCGCTTGAGTCCGATCGAGCATGATCCACACGGAACCGCGTTGATCTACACCTCAACTGCTCGTTTGAATGACCAACGGCCATCTGGCCGAACTCACGGTGAGCTTCTAAATTACTTTCTACAATGTCTACATGGCATCTATTGATAGCGAGTCTCAAGATTATTATTAATCAATAAAATTCTATTGAAATTAAAAAAAATAATTATAAAAAATTCATTGATTACAACCTTTTGAGCAGATGTAAATCAACGAGGACGTCAGATTGTCGGACAAGCGATCTGTTTTCGATATCATGAGCTTTTAATCCTTCATATCCTTTAAATCCTTGAAAAAATTTCATTTTACTTCCAACTTGTTCTTTGTGCTTAATACTAAGACTGTGGTAAAAAAGCGAGTGTAAAAAAATTTAGGGAATGAGAGAGCGAGAATTTTACAATTGTAGAAAAGCTTAAAAACACAATTTCGTTCGTCCAGATGTGTTCAGATGTGATTTAAAAACCAGGTTGAATATGAATTAGTTGCCAGATGTTGTTAAAGCGCTGATATTCAAGGTAAAAGATGTTGATGAAGGTGAATGATTTGAAAATTCGAGAGGAAGTGATGAAAAATGGATTTTTGTCGCTGCTGCATCATGAAGTAGACTAATCGTGAGAGAGGAAGGGGAGGGAGGGGATTCTAGTTGGGAATTAATATTCTGCTCAAGTTCGTATTTGTGGTAGATTGCAATTGGATTACTCATTTCTTGAACACAGACGTGGTCACTTGAGAAACATCTAGTGGTATAAGTCAACGTATAGTAAAACATCTAGCTATTGTAAATATTGTCTCGAATAATAGTTGAAGTGAACTCACTTCACAAAGATAAATAAGATCAATGAAGAGCGATATAGAACTTATGAGTTTTACTTAGAAAATTGAGAAGTGGTGTAAAAATAAACTTTATATATAACCCGATGAAATGTTCCATTTGTATTCCTCTGGGTACCACCATCGATTGACAGCAACCGGACTCTTCCCGCTGCGATTTATACTCATGGCGAGCTTTAAATGAAAGTGATCGATTGATCGTCTCAGAGAATAAACTGTGAGCAAGAAAGTGAACAATAGCTTCAACAATGTAGAATCATGATTTTTTATAATGGAGAATACAAAAGATTTTCAGTCTTTATTAAAATCTTTTCTATCAATCATTAATTCTAAGAAATTGATATGCTTCTTTTATTTATTTACATGTCTCTTAAATATAAAAGTATCTTAATTGAAACATCTAAAATAAAATATTTATTGACAAAAGTAAAAAAAAATTACTAAAATTTGGAAATGTAGGCTGGTTTTTTTTTTGTTCCAAGTAAATGGAATTTTTTTTTTTGGTGATGTTGGGGTTGATTGAATTTTCTTTTGTATTTTCCAAAACAAACAAAAAAATCTCATTAGATAAATAATACAAAAATGGTGTCCCTGTGGTGTTGTAACATAATATTTAAATAGATCTGTTACAAATGTAGAAAAATTCAACTATTATTCTTTACTTAAAGGAAAAAAAATATTTTATCAAATTTAGGGGATGTTTTGGTAGAGTCTTTCACAAGAAATATAAGAATTCTAGAAGCATTTGTTCTGAGTAAAACATGTGCGACGTCGTGGTAAGAGGAAAGTGGCGCCATTATCTTGCGAGGTTTCACGTGCACCGGATGTATGGAAAAGTGGGAAGAGAGAAAAGGGGAATCGAGCGAGAGCTGTAACTCTCTTGGGGTGTATAGCTATTGTAAAACAGTGTGGTTGGAGATATTGATCAGATTGTAGAAGGGATGGTGCTAACAATTGCAAAGGGGATATAAATGAGGGAGAAAAGCTGACAACGCTGATGTTGGTCCTCAATTCATTTTCCCTTTCTGTACTTTGCAGTAACTGTTGAGAAAGTTGAGTGTTGTCTCTATTGGCTCTTCAGTATTGTCATCATTGCATCTACCATCGCTTTGAGAAATCATGAAAAAATAAATTGTTGCAAACTACCAGAAGTTATAGCGAGAAAGTTGATTTAGATGACTATGTAGATGCTATTGATGTTTTCACAGTATTTATTTAGGTCAAACTATCCCTTATAGCATCCATAATAGGTACTTTAACACTGGTTGTTTTCGAATTTTGGATCAAGATAATCACTTCATTACTAATTCAGCTTTGTTTTTTAAAAATAAAAACCCAAACACAACAATTTTCATTTATTTATTTATTTTTTTTACTAATTTCATAAAATATATTCAATTATTTTTGTCCATGATTTTTTTTACTTTAAACAAAAAATGATAAACATTATTCTCCATCGTTACCTTTCCTTTACAGCTTGTTCTTCTGACGTCCAATTGAATATTCACTTAAAACGATGTATTTATAAATTGATTATAACATAAGTATTTGCTGAAAAAAATATTACCAACGTAAAACTTGGAAGAGTAAATAAAATAATATTTTGAGTCTCGTTATCTCAACCAACGTAAATAATTTCTCGTTAATTTGTAAAACATAAAAAATCGAACGAAATTTGTTTATTTTTAATAGAAACACTGATGAACATGGGATAATTGATGCAATCAATTCGCCGTTCAGAGCATGATAGAGACATAGTACCATCCATCGATGAGAGAGGAAAGAATAGTAGCAGCTTTTTTTTTATGGTGAAGTTTTAGGACAAAATAAATTTTGGGTAAATGTTCGACCGACGAGCATTCACCTTTGTACCTTTATATTCACTCAAGTCGGTAAATAAGCCCTAGTTCTTTCAAGCGATCAAATGTCACCCTCCGAATTTATGAATTCGTTGGTGCAAATTTTATTGATAAAATTTCGAAAATGAAAAAAAAAAATTGTTTCACTTGTACATAGTTTTCTGGTTGATAATTATTGTTCTACAAACGATTTATTGAATTTATAATTGTGTGTAATTATTCGATTCAAATCAGATTCATAAAGCGTGTTGAAGGAGAATAGTGCTGTTGTATATGAATATACTTTAGAAAATGGATTTAAAATATTGTGATGAATGATTGGAAAAATTTAGAATGTATGTCTATTGTTAGTACTAAGAGTCTTGCAATAAAGTAAATTCTAAAGTGTTCCAGTAATAACAGAGAACAGAGAAAAACTAGAAAAAATTCATGATAATGTCTGGTAAAATGATGAAAAGAAAGTAACAAAAAAAAACAAATAATAATAAATGTTGATAGAGAAAAATAAGAATGAAATAGAGATTAAATTTTTAAGGTCATCTAATGATTGAGAAATAGGCTGTATAAATGAATTGGAATATTTTGTGAGTTGATAAGAGCAGGAGTCCGAGTGTATAAGTCTAACATCAATTGATTCATTGATATAAAATAATTAGTAATAAATTATGAATCATAAAGTGCTCGTAGTACCTTGCGATTAAAATTAAACGAAAAACCGATACATGAAATCGGTGATGGACAAGTGTGCATGCACCCATGACATTCTCTTTTGCTAACCTGTTGCTTCCTATATTTTCGAGAAATTGTTGAATTCACTGGGAACTTTAAGCACATCTTGCTTTGTTTCACGTTAAATTTTTCTTTGTTCTTAAATATTTCTCTCAATTATTCTTTTGCTCAAATTATCAGCAACCAGATTTTTAAAAAGAAAAATTGAACAAACAATAATAACAGCTACAATAATATTTCCAATGATGATAATAAGATGATATTGATAATAATAATGATAGTTGTAGTAGAAAATGCAATTGTAATTTTAAAAATTCAGAGAATAACAAATTTTTGGATAACGAAAATAAATTATTTGTGTACAAGGTCAGGAGAAAAAAGTGGATTTCAACACTAAAATAAATCTTTCAATAGTTAAAAATGTTTTCACTAGATTTTACATGATGCTAAATTGAAAAGTTGTTAAAAAAAAAAATAAAATTAAAAATTAATCTCTTAAAAATACACGTTGTTTCGGTTAAAATAAATTTTTCAAATGTTCTATCTCTTTCACAAAAGTCATGCTGTTTTTTGCAAAGTGTTATTCATTATGAAACATTCCAAAGAGGAATGAAAAAGGAAAAACACAACGTTTTACAGAAATTATTATATGAGCTGGAGACAAATTCGATGTAATCACATGAAGTTTAAATGAAAAGTTAGATGAAAAGGGAAACACAGCAAAACGATGAGTAGTTAGTTTACTTCTTCGATGTTGTGATTGTAGTTATGTATAAAGCAAAATAATTATAAGTAATAGGAAATAATTTAACTCATCTACGAATGAATCTGAGTATGAAATGAGTGCTCGATTGTATAAAAAAAAAAAATAATTTAATTAAGTATAAAAATGAAGAAAATAGAAATAAAATAAAAAGGTCATGACAATGAATAGCCAATGTCTTTAATCGTATGACGAAAAAATATAGATAAAATGTCTTTCAATTTACTACCGTACTGCCAATATTTTCCGAAAAAAACTGAGCTCGTATTTAACTCTGTACGACGTCGACTTGTCGAATGGATTTAACTCTAAATTATTTCAATTGAAAAATAATTCAAGCATGATCTTGTTCAGCAAAAATGAATGCATAGGTATATATATATATATTTTCTTTTTTTGTAATTATACTTGCTGACTCCATAAATATTCACGAATTTTTTTCCAATATCTGAGATTGAAAAAAAATTCCAAAGGGTCGAATCGGGATGTAAATGAAAATAGAATTTACGATATTTTGTGGTAGATTAAAAAACCGCTTTCAATAATGTAAGTTATCATGTGACAAAAATAGGCAATTCGATAGTGCCCTAAATTATTTTATCAAGCATCTAGGAATAGAGTAAATAATCTCAAATACGATCCCTCATATCTGATATTGATTAACTATTACCCATGAATCATGTTGTAACATATGCATCAACAAGGAATATTATTGTATGAATTAATAATAAGTGACCATAGTGTATATAGTTAAAAAAAATCTTTATTTCACATTATAAATTATTAAATAACTCATGATAGTCTTTGAATAATAATATTATCAATTTTATTCTTTAATGAATTATTTTTCAATGAAATGAATTTTTTTGTGTAAATATAATTTAAATATTGAATGTTAACACAAAAGCATTGAAATTAGTTGAAGTTTTCAATGAATAATTAAAATTCCTCATGATGGAACATCACTAAAAAGAAATGAATTAAAAACAAAGGAAACTATTTTTATTGTTCAACCATTGTATTGTACGTATTTAGACATCCATTTGCTACATAATTAATTATTAATACCAACAGTAGTTCAAATTTTATCATTAATACAAAGTCACAGACAGTAAAGAAAATTTTAATTTCTGATGAAAAAGTACTTAAATATTTGATATTAAAAAATTAGGTTCGTTATTTGGCAGGTGAGGGTATTAGAAAGTGATGAAAGCTGCTAAAATCAATAGAAAGTGATTGAAAGAAAGTATTGAATGAATAAAAAAAATGTAGATGATTCTCTACAACATCGAGAGGGCAAACTCGTTGGCGACGATTCGGGTCCAATTAAAAACGAGAAGTAAATGTCATGGATAGATATTTTACATAAAAGTAACACATACATTCGTTATAGAAGTAAAATTAATCTTGTAAAATATTCGTGTCCAAAAGCAATGACAGATTAGGTTAAAGAATAGAAAAAAATTGAACACGAAAACAAAAAATTAAGTCTTTTATTAAATTTTATTTTTAAACTTAATTTATCAATTGTTCTAAATTTATAAAATATGCTCAATAATAAAATTGAATAACACTTCAAGTATAAAAAAGAGATGGAATGCTTATCAATAATTTAGTCATTGAAACATATTCTAAATAATTTTATCATTCAGACATCAATAGATTTCATGAGGAAATTCAATTTTAGCATTCGAGTATCATTATGATGATATTAAGTAATTTTTATGTTTATTTATTTTAAGTACCTCTTCTCTTTCTTTTTTATTTATTACCAATATTTCCTCTATATCTTTCACCGACAAAAGAAAATAATTATAAATAAATTTTTCTTTTCATCTTTCATTTTTGTATAAAAATAATTTTGATTTTATAATTTAAAATACTAATTTTAAAACGAGTAGAATTTTAAATAAATCCATTGAATTATTATAAAATCATTGTGGGTAGAAATGAAAATTGTTAAACTTTAAACTATTAAACTTTTAAATAATTTTAAATTTTAAGTAAAGTTGAACTTTACTAACTTACGATTAACTTAATTATTTTCATGCAACAAACTTTATATTTTGTTCATCAAAGTTTTTTCTCTTAATTAAATTTTTTTAATTTGAAAAAGAAAAGATCTTTTTAATAAAAATAATATTTGCTTTGAGTGCTTAATGTGCAAAAATCGATCTAAACCTGTTACTGAAAAGAGTAAGATTACCAAAAAAGAAAAAAGAATATATTGCAAATAACTTATTCATTAGACAGCACTCGACCTTATGCTATTTCGACTCTCATTTGTAATAGATGGGAATCTTTTAGCATTTTCTACATTTATGTATTTATTTCCCTTCATCGTTTCATTTGGACTCCTATACCTTTGTCAATAGCTCATAGACATCTCGACAAGTTTTATTACAATGACATTATCAATAATTTACTAGACAATGAATAATCGTTATCACAAACCCAAAGAAGCACAAAACAATTTACGATAGTGATAATTAGGACAGTGAGAATGATAATATAATGCAATAATAATAGTCCAAGAGGAAAGATAATGGAAATAATGAAGGTAAAACGACCAAGTGATAAAGATATACGTCCTTCGCCTTCACATGATCGAAGGGGAATATTCTAAAACGGGATAGAAATTAATGAGAAGGTTGTACGAAAATAAAATAGATGAGAAACGAGAAGAGGTACGAACGTCGCCAATAGATCGTAAGTAATTTAATTGACTCTCGCGGTACTCTCAAGCGTATCCTTAACACTGACATGGATCGTCCTCTGTGTTTAAATCGACTCGTTAGAAAACTCTTAATTGTTAACTACCATTAGACAATGAAATTATTTCATTCTCGAGGATAAACAAACTCTTTAATAATGTTAATCATTCATCTGAAATATCGTAACTGTACCTCGAGAGTGACTGAAAATTGTATATTACGTCCGCATTTACTTATGAGCACTAAAACTGAGTGATTATTTCACAAAATAATTCATTTTAAATAAATAAAGAATATTAATACTGTTATTTAATTATTTAATAACAAGAGTGTTTGACAATACAAATAATAAAATGAATGCAATCTCGATTCTACCCGTGATCAAGTCGATAGCATTAATAGCTAATCGATTAAAATAATAATTATATTAAAAAAGATATTTTAGATTTTAATCTTCACGTATTCTCTGTTTATAAATCGTGAAGGCTTCTGGTTTTCTCTTTGGAAATTTTATTTTTATCTAAATCAATTGTACATTAGATTCTGTAAAATATATGAGCTAAAAGTTGAAGTGTTAATTAATGACAGAAAATTCTATACTCTCGATATTTAATGTGCCACTTAAAATAAAAAATGGTTATAAATAGTAAAAAGTGACAATTGAAAGGATATAAGACGTTTCAAACTCGAAAGTAAAAGAAGATAATTTAAGAATAGATATTGTAATGAACGTTAATAATTAATTATCGAGAAAATAAAATTTTTTTGGTACGTGATGCGATACCTAAATCGATCGTGGATCGATCGTTTCTTGGGCTTGGATGCTAGAAGCACACGCAAACGGAACAACTTTAATTGTAATAAAAGTATATTTATTATTAATATATACGACCGATAAAAAAAAAATATATGGAAATAAAGTACTGTCTTTATTCATGTTTTTCCGTTGTTGTTTAATTATTATTCCCACTCATCTTCTTTTAAAATGAAGCCTTACAAAACTAGTGTAATTGTTAAAATCAATATATTATTTCATTTGCTCTAGATCAGTCGAAAAAAAATCCTTATTTATATCTTTATATACTAAAAATAATTAAATAGCTAATTTCAATCTTAAACACTTAATGTTATTTAATAGAGCAATGAATATTGCATAATTGAATATGTAATAATTGATTAAGTGGTCTTATTATAATATCGGTAAGTTAAGACTATTATGTTTTAATTTTATTCAATGAAAACGTGTCAAGCACAGGTTAAGACCATTTTAAGCACGTACTAAGCTTACTTTACACATTTATAAAGATCAAATGTAGAACGATAAGATGAATATATTAAAATAAATTATAAGATTTATTTATTTCTGTTTAATAGCTATTATTTTCCACTTTGATTAACACACTTGTTTTTCTCATATTTAAATTATTAAAAAAAATCTTTGAATAGAGTAGTTGAAAAAGATTAATATAAAATGATTTTTGGTAATCAAACTTTTTTATGTTTATTTTTTATTAATTTAAATTATTATTATATTTCTACAGCTCACGTGATAATAATTAATTATACGATTGTTTCTGAGTAAATTGTAAGCAACAACTCTATAAAACTCACCAAAGCTTAATTTATTGTACCTCTTGTCATTTAAATTGAGTTATTAAATGCGAATTTTATATTTAAGATAAAAATAATTAAAGGAAAGTACTCCAGTAGACGACGTTGAGAATGAAGAAAGAAAAAGGGAAAAAAAATCTAGAAAATTTGTCTATGTAAATAGCTGTTGCTCGACCATGACAACAAGTATCGTACTGAACGGTAAGTGGTCTCATTGGACTCCTGTTTCTCGAACCAGGTCTCATTGGTGTCTGAAATCAAATTTATTCAATTACTTATTTGCATAATAATTTGTTATGTTAAAATACTAAATGCATATTTGTGATCTATTGATAATTTATTCAATAAAATAAGATAAATATTTACTTTAAATTCATCAATTGATTCTCCAAGATCCTCATCCGAATATCCTTTCATTGCTTTCGTTGCAACAGGGCCCATGTAATTATTCACAACAGCAAATTCCATGAGAGATAGAAAGACGAAAACACTACAGGATGACATCCACACATCAATGGCTTTTACATAAGATACTGGAGGTAATGATTGTTGAGATTGAGTATTTTGTGTTGCTGTAAAATAAAAAATTTAATAAAAATGGTTATAAAAAATAAATAAATCTTATAATTATGTGTAATAACTGTTCTAATATAACATAAAATGCTTAAAACAGACTACCAGAGAACCCTTTCAAGTCAACAATTTGAGAAAGATAAAGACAACATAACAAGAAATACATATGAGGTCAAGCTGTGACAGGGATTTATAGGGATCTGTTTATTGTTCGCTTCAGCTATTTTCTCAGGTCACCGATATACATTTGTCGTGTACTTGACAGGTTGATACGTTGGTTGTAGGACTTCACGGAAGCAAATTAACATCAGTAGTCGAGTCTTAGAATAGTGAAACATATTGTTTGATTTCTGATAAATACTTGAAATTGTAAATACATACCTAAGGTAAGAAGCGACGTGACTCCGAGGGTAACCCGAGCTGGAATTGCTTCAGGCTTTATCCAGAATGCTATCCAGGACATGACAACAATGAGAGCTGAGGGGATGTATGTGTGGAAGAGGTGATAACCAAGTCTACGCCGTAAGTTAAAAACAATTTGGATGCAAGTAAAATTCCCAGTTGAGTATTCGATTGTGCAATCCGTCGTATAGTTGTTGGAGATGTCGAGCTGTGGCAGTTCAATTTCAGGATTGACTACCAATGGATCCGTCATGTTCCAAATGAAAATTAAATCCTGGGTCGTGTGCGACACTTTTAAATAAATTTTCATTAATTTCATGCTTTTTTTTTCGATTGGAAATTTGTTTTATAAATAAACTCATTAGAATTTAATTATAGTTTATACTGAATCAATAAAATATAATATAAGTGGAAGGTGATTATTTATTCGTATTAAAGAATTTCGTTTCCCGAATATTCCCTAGTATGAATTTTTTTTTTGCAAAAACAAATATACATAATGGAATAGTGATATATCAGCATAACTTAGTTTTCTGGTGATAACTCGGGATCTATGAGGCCTACATAGAAAATGGGCATATCAATGGATTTGTGAAAAGAATATCTTTTTATTACATGAGGTGAAATCATAATTAGAGGGTAATTTTTTGCTAAAATTAAGGGAAGTTCCGGTTTTACCCCAGTTTGAGGGTGAAATAATTAATTTTTCTAATGTTTGACCTGATTCCGCATTTCTACACATTGAGACGAAGAGAATGAGTGGTCGATCATCAAAATCGGAGTACCTTTATTTTTCGACCCCAAAAAATGGCAAGTGGTACCCCTTTCCATTTTTTTTCGGCCAAAAAATAAAAGTTCTCCGATTTTCAAGTTCGACGACTCATTCTCTTCGTCTTGATGTGTGGAAATGCGGAATCCGGGCACCGCCCAGAAAAATTCACTTTAACACCCTTAAAAGGGGGTAAAACTAATTACACATAAAAATGATCATCCTCTTGACTTTAAACCCTTATAACTCATAAACGGACAGTCTAATAATCATTTTCAGGGACGTTTTAGAAACCTAAGAATCTAAGCTATCTGACAATATCTATAGATTTATCGAGAAAAATTTCTTTCACCCTTAAAATCGCTAAAATATAAAAAAAAATCACATTTTTGGGGGAGTTTGCCAACTATTTCGGCGATTTTGAGGGTGAAATAAATTTTTTAGACTGTTTTTATGGATATGTATCTTTAGCTTAGATTCTGAAGTTTCCAAATACTCCTTAAAAAAGTTATTCGATGACTTGTACAATAGTTATAGAGGTTTAAAGTCAAACAGAAGATCATTTTTGACCCTTACTTCAACTTTGGACCTCTATAACTATTGTACAAGTCATCGAATAATGATTTTTCAGAGATTTTTGAAAACTTCAGAATCTAAGCTAAAGATACATATCCATAAAAAACGTTTTAAAAATTTATTTCACCCTTAAAATCGCCGAAATAGTTGGCAAACTCCCCCAAAAATGTGATTTTTTTTTATATTTTAGCGATTTTAAGGGTGAAAGAAATTTTTCTCGATAAATCTATGGATATTGTCAGATAGCTCAGACCCTTAGGTTTCTAAGACGTCCCTAAAAATGATTATTAGACTGTCCGTTCATGAGTTATAAGGGTTTAAAGTCAAGAGGATGATCATTTTTTATGTGTAATTAGTTTTACCCCCTTTTAAGGGTGTTAAAGTGAATTTTTCTGGGCGGTACCCCGATTCCGCATTTCCACACATCAAGACGAAGAGAATGAGTCGTCGAACTTGAAAATCGGAGAACTTTTATTTTTTGGCCGAAAAAAATGGAAAGGGGTACCACTTGCCATTTTTCGGGTCGAAAAATAAAGGTACTCCGATTTTCAAGTTCGACCACTCATTCTCTTCGTCTTGATGTGTAGAAATGCGGAATCAGGTCAAACATTAGAAAAATTAATTATTTCACCCTCAAACTGGGGTAAAACCGGAACTTCCCTTAATTTTAGCAAAAAATTACCCTCTAATTATGATTTCACCTCATGTAATAAAAAGATATTCTTTTCACAAATCCATTGATATGCCCATTTTCTATGTAGGCCTCATAGATCCCGAGTTATCACCAGAAAACTAAGTTATGCTGATATATCACTATTCCATTATGTATATTTGTTTTTGCAAAAAAAAAAATTCATACTAGGGAATATTCGGGAAACGAAATTCTTTAATACGAATAAATAGTACAAGAGTCAATAATGTATAAAGATAAAACTAAATTGAAAAAGCTTGATTACTTATAAAAATAATTATAAATAATTAGATGAGTCGGTTATGAAGGAAAGATTAATGGCAATTACTTGGCACGATGTGACTTTTGCGGAGAGGAAAATTAATGAAAAGCAAGACATTGAACGATATTAATGATGATATTAATTAAACAGGACGATTACCCTAAGGATAAGAAACAAAAAAAAATACTCATTACTTTAGCAATAAATACTTATTATTAAATGAACAGAATAAGAAGAAAAAGATAGCACTGTCATAGAATTAACTTGTAGAGAAACCTAGAACACTTTATCATCTCCAGAGATAATTAAGTTAAGAATTAAAAATATTAAAGATTACAAAGTAATCATGTTAGAAATAAAATTTTAAGTGTTTTAATTTGAAAATTAGTTTGAAAGTCCTAAGTTCCTCAAAATTTATATAGCAAGGTGCAATGACTGAGAATAAAATCAACGGGTGGCCTATATATTGATGAATATGAAGAGTACATACAGCTCTCTATCATCATTGAACAAATCTGGGTATCGTGAGGATACGATTCAAACTTCATTGCGCATGAAAGAACCAGTGTTAGTCTATAAAGGATACAATGATTTAATTAACTAATTGTTTAAAACAAATACATTCACAAAGAATTCTCTATTGTCAGAATGGATCAAAACTTTGTTCCTGCAACATTTTGTATTTTTACTAAATCTATTCTTTCATGTTTGATTACAAAAGAAAAATTTTCCTACCATGAACTATTTTCCTTTGAAAATATTACAGATTTTTATTTTCTTTTACATTCAATTCTTTTCGTATTAATTCAATGAAAAAAATAATATTCCATTTAATTCAATTTTGATAAACAATTAAAATAAAATAATATAAAAAATAAAATTAAATGTCATTCAATGCATAATGTTTTGTGTACACTAGGCTTAATTTTTTTGAGGTAATTCTAACAAGAATTTAGAAGTTGAACATTGTTTCACATTACTTGGAGAGTTTTGCAACAAACTGCACTTTTTATTACTTTGTTTTGGACTTTAAGTTCAGTTAAGTAGAGAATGAAAGTTGAAGAACAAAGAGAAAAAAAAAAACGAAGAGACTAAATTCTACTTAAAGAAAGCTTTACTCACTTAGACATGTAAAGCAAAGTTTTGTCATGATAAAGCCAAAGATAATGATTGGGTATTGACATCTCGTGGAAGGTGACTTTTTTGGCATTCTTAAAGAAGCAATCAGGCCTCCATATGTTGTGCAGCCAATCGACATCGAGTATTCTGTAGTCTTCAGACATATTCTCTGGTAGTCTTAGCCTTGAGTCTCGCCAACTTTGAGCAAGGAATATATCAGCCACATAAGTCTAGAGTTTCATAAAGTAAAAAATATTATTTTCCTTTCTTTTTCATCTAAATAATCTTAAGTGTAATAATTATCTTCAAAAAAAAAAAAAAAAACTATTTACCATGGATTCTTCATTTATCGAATCAATGCTGAGGACAGTGACGTGGAAATAAACGATGGTAGGTTGCCCAAAGAACTTTGGAGCTCTATGCTTGTCATACTGCTTTGGATTCAAAGGCAGAATATCTCTCAATGATAAGGAGGCCTCCTTTCTGCCGCCAAACTCCTCCAAGTCCTCTCCCCTGCGACACGAGAATCGAAGCGAGAAGAAAAGCAAGACTGGTTGTGATGTTTCCAGAGGGAAGTTATCGCATTCAAGATAAAGGAACGATATCGAAAAACATTGTCAGAAATCACGATATGACAATACTCAATTGTTATATATCAGTTACCGGCATAAACCTTCAACTAGTGGTAAAGCTTGTGAGTTAGATTTATAAGAGCTTTCACCCTTATTTTATCACTGTCGGTAAAGATGAAACGTTTCATCATATAATTTTCCATTGATAAAGGAAGAATATTAGTTAATTCAAATTGCCGCTTTGAATTTGAAGTAAAATGTTACTGTAGACACTAATCTTTATTATGAGATCATAATTTTTAAATAATTTTTTTCAATAAAAATGTCGACCAATTCATGTGATATGAAACCTTAAAACGTCTAAATACCCTTGAATAAGTTTCACGCAGCACAATTGACACGTGATGTAAAATAAAGTTGCAAGATAAATTAAAAAATTTTTTCAATTCTGTCGTTATAAGATCATTTTTTATTTAACTATAATTCTTAAACTGATGATGAATGAAAATAGATAATGTGATAGATATGCATTAGAGGAGATCATTTTTGATGAAAGGGTTTCTCCAATTACCTTTCGATCTTCGGAAAAAACCTGTACCCGCGCTTTCTTGCGGAGAGTCGAATCGTGCGAGACGATAGACTATCGACTTTAATATGCCACCCTTCAACCTCCGTGGAAAGTACCGGTTCACATATTTTCTCGCTGAAACTCGAACAGTAGGGGAATATGACGGAACTACAGGGTGTGAGAAATCGATAATCGACGAGTATCGCGCGTTCTCGATTTAACAAGATTTTAAAAAGTCAAAAAGACATTTGGTCAGAGTTGAATTATTAATAAACATTATTTTCATCACTTCTACATCAGCAAAGAAGTAAAAGAATACTTTTTGTATAAAATATTTATACAACAAGACAAAGTAAGAATAGTAAATGATTCAAGTATGAATAAAGGAACACGCTTTATCGGCGATAATCGATTATTTGAATGAATTATAAGAGATACTCACGAAAAATGTAATGACGCCATATCAACAAGGGTGTAGAGACAGCAAAGTAACATTAGATAGTACTTCGTCATACCTGAATAAATTTTGTAAATAATTATAAGATAAATATTGAGAGAGAATGAATTTGATTTTCTCACCCTAATTGAGTTTTGTATTTGTGGATGTGGGGATCCCGGTGTCGTTGACATGAATCAATTATCTAATACCCCGATTTGTCGCACTGGAAGCGATTAATTGGACTAATTTCTTTCACTTTCATGGATTTGTTTCCGTCACAATTAAACGAATGATAACAATAAAGAATTAAGAGCCTCGTCCGGTTCATTTGGCTCGTTTCAATTTCATCCTTCACTTTGATGTTTTTATTCTGTTATCGACTACAATGTAACTCCACTCTTAAATCATCCCGTGACAAAAATTCGCTGAAAATTTTTTTATTTTTACAAAGTTTGACCTAAAGTTATTTCAATCACGACAGTCTCCACTTGACTCGTTTTCCTCGAGGTTTCACTAAAGCTGCCATCCATGGTCGCAAACGCTAACCCAATTTGTCTATCGACTAACTGATTAAGCTCTCACTATTTCTATTACACGCTTGGCGCTCGCTTTCATGACCTCCCTTAGTTATGTAGCAGTAGTAAAAGAGACAGAAAAAAAGTAAAAAAGATAAAAATATCGTGGAAAAAAGAATGTTATACTTAGCTTGACTTCTACGTGTCAAGCAACATTATTAGGTGAAGATACAAGTCATTTATTATATAGGCTATTGATGTTCACCTTACACTCCTGTATTAGTGTCTCTTTAATAAGATTCCGTTACCGAGAAAATCAAGTATTCTACACATCCATAAAATTTAACTGGATGTTTTTATGGAATGTAAAAAAAAAAAATAATGATAAAACTAAACAAGACATTTGATAATATTGATTAAAGCTTTGTTTTGTATTAATATAACAATTCTATTTGAACGTAGCTACTGTCAGAAATTGTGACAAAAGGTAAGAATAATTGGAGATGATACAATTTTTATGACCACTTGGGTCAGATGTCATTTATTACCAACATTTCAGCAATTTAATTGTTTTTATTATAACTTATAACAACTTTTTTTAGTTTTCTCTTGTCACCGCATTTTAAGTATAATTTATTATACATTACCACGCATTAGTGGTGAGCATAAGTCTTGTAATCCTGCTAATAATCTTGCCTTTATAATATTTATTACAACCAGCCATTAGATACATTTGTCAACACGCATTTATTTTGCGTTAGATGTGATTCTTTTAAATTTCTCTCGCTATCATTTGCTTGTTATTGAGGAGTGATAACGTTATCTAAATATTGATATTCATTAAATAAGATATTTTATGTACATACATTTGAGTTACATCAGTAATCAGTTGACACTAAAGACATTTTCTTTTTCAATAAGTGCCTTGAGGAATGGATTGTTAGTGTCTTGTTTCAGCGACTGATTCAAACGTTTTTTATTTAATATTTTTTAAAAAGAATAAAAAAACGTCGAATCTTATACATAAAAAAATCCTGAGTATTTAGCTATTAATTGTTTATTCTGGAAATTGTTCGAGGATCATCTCGTCGATCAATGTTCAGATAATTAATGATAAATTTTTATCTTAGACCATTTCACATTATGAAATAAATTTCGTCCATTGAGAACTCTACAGTATCGAGGAAGGAGTAAGCATGTTTATTTTTTCGCTGTGCTCTACTTATTTTTAATTTTCCATAATATTTCATAGTTATTCTATCATTTTATTATGGCTTATATTATTCACCTGGCTGGGGTCAGATTGCGTATTATGTAATAAAAAATATATTTATATCTCTTTATACATAATATTTATTCGTTATTCAATATTATGATGGGCGAGAATGAACATTAGTTATGTTGATGAATTATAGTTTGGAGTAAATTGAGCTCTTGAGTAGACATTATTGATCAAACTTGTAAAAATTTTCTCTATAAATCATCTATTTGAATTGCACATTTTTATATAAACTTAATTATTTATTCTATCAAAAATTAATTATTCATATATAGTTATTAACAATGCTCAAGTGAACATATTAACATAATTATTATTTATTTTTTCATTATTACCAACTAAGCTTGCAAGCTCTTGGTTGGTCGGTATGTAAGAAAAAAACTGGTAATCTAGTTTGAAGCTTATCTATAAAAGCTTTACCTAACAACGGTTGATAACTTGAGCTTTTTCTAGGAAGTTTGATCGATAAAGTAGAGAACAAGTTCACATGTTGAAAACTTAGTCTAGAAAGTTAAGTACGAAAGACATTACACACGCAAAAATTGATCTCTGACCCCTGCCTCTTGGTACCATTGTCTTTAAAGTGGCACGTTCGTGATACCTATGCAGTTATATATAATCATATCGAGATAATCGATAAAATTTCAGTCAATTATATTACAAGAAGAAAGAAACATACATTCATTACATACAGATAAAAAAATTATTTCCTCGAACGTGCCACAATTATACATTATTGTGCTATTCTTGTTTCATTCAAAAAGCATAGAAAAAACTGAACCTACAATTAAATAAGAATAAAATGAGTGTAATTGGCTAACCCCTTATTTAATTGAAGGAGTCTTGATATGTTAGATTGGAACCACCGTATGTAATAACATACTTATGTGCTTGTGCATGTGTAAATAAAGTTTATTTTTTTTTCGTCTTTGCCTTTTTTTTTATTTATTTGAGTTTTCTATTTCTCGTAATAAATATCATCATCCTTTGAGTTCAAATATTCACACGGTCTGTTTGCTTTTATGAATTCACGAAGTATATCGGACGGCTGGCATTTGTGTCTACATTGTTAATACTTTTCACTGTGTCAGCGTAAATAATTGTATTTATATAATGTTATAACCAATTTGACAAATAACTATAATTAAATTAAAACAGAATATTTTAGGCTAACTTGACAAATAATCGTTAAGAAGTAGACTTAACTTTTTTTTCTTATCATCGAACTCAATTTCAAGTGTTTGACTAACTTGCGTGTTAGAAATTAGATACTGATTGTGTGGATAGATAAAAATTAATTGAGGTCAGAAATAATACTGCGCATTGTCATGCCAATCCTATAAATAATTTTTACACAGATTTTTTTTTATTGTTTTTTTCCTCAAATTGCCTGAAAAAATACATCGAGAATAATTAATTACAACGTCAGTAGTAGCAGCAGTAGTATCAAAATATATCAAAAAAGTTTTCATGATTTGTTCGAGAGTATTTTTTTAATTAATATATTTTTTCAAGTAATTGTTACTATTATTATTCACTGATTTTACGAAATTTACTTTTTTCACTTCCAATTATTAATTCAGGCAAATTTGAATCATTTGACATTTAATTAAATTTACGTACATTTAAGCATATATTGCTTTCACTTGATGGAAAATATTTGCACACAATCTATATATTTAGCTTTTTTTATCGAATCAAACTTGTAAGCTTTTGACTGATGTATTTTTTTCATCAAAATTTTACGTCAGTCAGTAAAATCTTTTATTTTATACCAAGTAACATATTCTAAGCACACTCAGGTTGTTTTCTCCTGATATAGCAAAATATGCCACATTGATATTCATTTTCGATAAATTATTATGCCCTGCTTTGTGCAAGACACGACGCATTTATGTTTATCTGAATAATTTATACAGGCATTTATTTACACACTCATTGCACCAATTATTATTTTAAGCAACATAGAGTTATTATTTTTTTTACTTTTTTCATTTTAAAAAATGTCATCTGTAAAATGGTTAACGCTTGGAAGACTCACAGATAAAAATACAAGTTGATATGACGCTTGATATGTAAAATAGCCAAGTTTTTCATCTGTGAGTAATAATGTTCAGATGAAAGTGTGCTTATAAAAATGGTTTAAATGGTAAAAATTCAATGAACAAGATAATACAAGAATATCAAAGTATAAAAAAAAATAAAAGCTGACAAAACTCTTGGTATTTTTAATTTCACGGCCATTTGTTAACTTGTATTCGCATTATTTACTATACTCTTTTGTTTCTCCAACATTGTTTTGTTTTTGTTTTTATCAACACTTCAACTGAGTGAACTGAAGGGTTAGTTTTTCCACGAAACACAAAACTGTTGATGTAACAATTTTATTACTAACCACCGTACGACATAAAATTGATAGTTGAAATTTGTTGCAGGACATGGTCAGTTGTATCAACGAATAATTTACGTGTTGTTTCATAACATAAAGAATGAGATCGGAAAAAGCAATAATCAAAATCAGGGAATGAAAAAAAAGCAAGACAAAGGGAGTAAACAATAAAAAAATGTATGTAAAAATGAGAAAAAAAGGAAGGGACGGAAAGAAAGAAAGAAAGAGATAAAGGGAAAAGCTTACTGATTGTCCCAATTGACTGTACCGTACATCACGTCAATCATCATTCTTTTTGCAACGTTTATTTGACATTCCACGTGTATACAGTATTTCGTTTGTATGCCGGAGCAAATATACTGTGAAAACAAGTGACCGGAAACAATCATTCATTCACTGTTCAGATATGTAAGACTATTCTTTTTACACACAAAGCCCAGAATGATACCCAACATCCTTCTTTTTTCTTTCTATTAATTTATCGGTTTGACTTTTTTATTTAAACTGATCGCTCTCTTTGTGTTTCGTGGAAATTATATGAAGAGTAATGATAAATGTTTCAATAACTCATGATTAAAAAATCATAATTTTTAACCATTTTTAAAGTTTCAAAAAATTATCACAATATATTTGTTTAATTTTGTCGAAATAGTTATTCCTATGTGATAGAAAGGTCAGATTGTGAAATAGTTGACAAAGTATTGGTCAAATGAAAGCTGTTTTGATCACAAGCTATGAAACATTTACCTTATCTTTGGAAAATTCAAGTTATGCATACTTGGAATTCAATATAATCGTATCGATATTTTCGTGCTTGACAAATTTGTTCTCCTTTAGCGATACAAGTGTCCAACATTATGCATGATGGATTGTTAACGCATTTGCGCACGCGTGCCCACCTTCGTATGCTCGTTATCCGGCCTACCTCGTGACATGCTCTTGCTGTATCATAAACTCTCGACATTATTGCTTTTCCGATAGCCATGTCATACTTGCCACTGCCTCACGGTCGTACGTCTCAACTCTATACTAGGCAGTAGATTAGATAAATGTCGTATGAATGTCTGAGTTTGACCGATTCGTTCTATTTCTCCAATGCGCTCTGTCGACATTTTCGATGCATAAATTTGAGCACGTCAAAATTTATCGGAGAAATAGCGAATCATTTTTATGAATTGTAAATTATTTTATAACATATTTTTCTATCTACAATTTACAATTTATCAATTATTAGTGATTGCATTGGAAAAAAGTTATTAAGAATAATTGGAATTTTTTAATTGAATGTTTTGTTTTTTCTTTAAAGATTTGATTAAATTCTAAGTAATAATTATTTGGAAAAATTTTGCTTTAATAAATTGATAGGTAATTTAAATACGACCGTGAGACAATTCAAGCTTACATGATTTAACATACTGTCATAATGATATCTCCAATGGCTATATATTTTTAGAAGACTATTTCTCTATTTTTGTTAAAATATACACTATCATCAAATTACTCGATATCATACACATTCGTCTCACTATCAAGCTGTTACCTGACCAGATTGACGAAGTTATCATACAAACTCACAAATCTGTGAGTATTATTTATATTTTATTTATAAATAATAATATACTATTTTTCTCCATAATTATGATTGAAAACATTCGTGTACGTTTTACGTTATCACGATGTGTTTTTCATTTTTTTTTGTTCTCGTATTCTGGTTACATCTGTTATAGATTTTTCTATATTCATTATCAGTGCTACACAAACACTGGACCATATTCTAAATAATATTTCAGACAATTATTATTCAAGCTTTTACATTTTATATATCATTCGTTGTTTAATCAATTTCTCATTGTCTTTATTCATTGAACTACTCCATAAAATATTTATATAATTTTATAATTCACTAAAAATAAATCTTATGACGACTAATAAAATTTTCCTATCATTTAACAATTATTTATAAGTTTTAACAATTTTTCATCCTCGATTGTTCTACAATAAAGTAAATTTTTAATTCTTAATTTTTTGTATTTAAACATTAATTTATATAATACTGGTTTATTCAAATTATTTTCATATAAAATAATGAAAAGAAAAAAATTTTCACGTGAATTGCACGTGTAAAACTGCAATGCTGCAGTAAAAATGAAATACTACAGGAAACTTGGTACGAGCTATAAATTCTTATTGTGACAGCTTTCTTTATCAATGAAACTCTAGTAACTTTTCTTTAACAGGACTCATGGATATTAAATTATCCATAAATTTTACTAAACTTCATCAAAATGAATTTCATTAAGAAAAAACGATATATAATTTAATATTACTAAGAAAAATAGAATTTTTAATAAAAATACATGGAAAGACAATGAGAAGTTGATTGCTATCATTCATTCGTTCAGGCTTTCATGATTATATATGCTATCTTAGTAAATTTTCTGTTTCTTTATACACTTGAACTAAATTATTCTCTATGTATCATCATCATCATACGTATTTGAAAACATTACTAAACCATTCTTTATAGAGTTTATCACATCAAAGAAAATTAAAATCTCTGTCACGATGTTAAGTTGTCGTTTATAACGAGATTTAAACTCGACGGATAACTCCACTGCATAAATATTGTGATTGAGATGATAAATAATATAAACGAAGAAGGGTTTGTTGTTTTAGTTGCTTTGCTACCGGGTGGTAGTTTCACTTCAACCTCAGCCATTTTAAAGATTGATAGAAGTGGGTGTGTATGCACTTCTTGGTGTTTGTTGTTGATCTTATCGCTCAAGTCTTGAAGCATACCACCACATTCTTCCTGTAATTAGAGATATAAATTCATTCAAATTTAACTAAAAGTCATTTTAATTAATTAAATACTGTATAAACTTGATTGTATACTTCAATTAACAGTGAGTTAACGATGTCATCTTAAATACCTTAAATTGTTTAAATAGTCGACGATAAAATGGAAATACAATGAATTTACATTATAAGAAACTTTAAATTTATATTCCAATAATAATGGACTCATTCTTTCTCTTGAGATTTGAAGAATATTTCTATTTGAATATTTATTTGTATTTGAAAAATATTTTATTTATTTCAGGAAATAAATAAACTGATTCTAAATTTAAATTTCACTCTGGTGTTGTAGAAATCAAATTAAGATAGATGATTATTTATAATAAATGAAACAAAAAAAAAAAAGATAAAATAAATTGTAGTGACTATCAAGAAAAGAGAATGAATAAACCAATTTAGGTGAGTTACAAATGATTAAATTTGTAAATGCTATCAATCTTCATTTTTCGCCACTGATAAATATCTATCTCTATTCACCCTCCAAAACTATTAATTTTTTCATAATTCGTAATTGATAATCGTCATGATCATTATCGAATATTTTATAAAATGAAGTATTTATGTAGTTATAATTGGAAAATAGAGAATGATCGTTTTATGAGAGAAATTAATAGTAATTCCTTGATGATGAGAAATGAAAATGGTATTTCATTGAGCTATAGCACAAAAAGTGGTAAGCAATATAAGTAGCTTAAGTTAATAGGAATTTAGCAGTGAAATAATCACTCATTATAATGATCAAAGATTGTGTTGACATAAAATAGAGTTGGAATATATCCAATGTATGGCTTAGCTTGGCTCATATGTCGCCTGTTAACTAACGCATGCTCATCGATTTCCATTATTATCAGTTCTTCTGCTTCCCCTGCTTCTATTCTACTTTCCATTCGTTATTCACTTTCTGGTTTTCCTTTTTTTGTTCTCCATAGTCTGTTACCGAAAATTACCCTCAACTCGTTGAATCTTTAATTTCCGTCAAATTCTCTGACAGGTGCCATACTGTTGGAATTTTTTATTCCAAGATTTTTATTTTATTATCTACCATTGTACTTTCTATTTCAGTCTTATTATCTCAAAAGTTAAAGCTTCAGGAATTGAAGCTAAGGAAAAAAGACTGTGAAGTAATTAAATTATTTCTCTCATTGATTCTTATAGAATTTGTTAAGATTTTTATATTGGATTGAGTGACGCATATGAAAAGAAATTTTTTTTGTTGAGAAATTAATAAACTTGGATGGAAATAAAAATGAAAACCTTCTGACAATAATTGATTTAAAAGCCTGAGGTGTTTTCAATATAGAAAACGTTGGGAAATATTTTGTACTAGTTGATAAAATGAACCAGAGAAAGCTCGTATAGTAGTGCTTTGGTACAATTGAATCAAGCATTCTGGTACCTTACTAATAACCTGCTTTCTACCAAAGCCTTCGGATGATAATTCATTTTACATATCGTCTGTGCTAATTGTAACCAGCTTTAGTCTCCTCACCGGATACTAGGTATTATCCTACCCCTTTTCCTTTTCCGCAAACCTATAATCCAACACGACGTTTTGATCTCACCTCTTGTTGGTGAAATCCTTTGTTTGCGGTCTTTATTCTTTGTAACTAGAGAAAAAAATGTTTTCTTTTTTTTTTTTTCATTTTTCCATTTACAATCCAACAATTATTCTTTTCCGCGTAACTTTTTCAGCTCTGATTTAGTGGAACAAATTTACATGAAGTAAAAAAAAATTACAATCCAAACGATTTATTTACAAAATAAAAGGATATTTTATAAATACTTTTGCGATATTTTTTATTTCAGTCACATGTTTTTATGTCAATAACAACAATTAAATAGTGCTATATTATATTTTTGTAAGAGGAATTAAATTTTTGGAGAATGTTGCTCTTATGTTTTGATAACTTTATAAATAAATTTTTTCGAGAATAAAATATATTACTCTCGAATATTTAGTTAATTTAAAATATGCCAAAATTAAAATAAAAATTAAAACATTTTAATCACTCAGAAACAAAGTTTGATTTTTGTTTAGAGTAGCAAAATAACAGTATTAAATTGAAAAATCCCATTACAACATTAAACATAATATCCGTGGAATTATTTTACCACGAGTACAAAATAATAAATTTTCTCCCCAAAAGGGTATTACATATGAAAGATGAGGGTTTGATGTTAATAAACATGCACCTCTAATTCATTCGTAACATGTGGTATTATTTTTCCCTCTAAACAAAAAATGATATATTAAGCTAAATATCTAATTTCCCATTGAAACAGTCGGAATATATTCTTACATCTATTTGGAAGTTTATGAGATGAATGAGGAATAGGAAGAGCAAGTATTGTCTTGCATTTCTAACAAGCAAGAACAATTAATGATGCACACATGTGCCTGGTTGTTGCGAATATCCAAGCAATTCTATTTATCTTTCGTGAAAGCACAAATTGTGAGAGCTTTTCTGGAGCACTTTAGTATTATGATAGTAGTCGTTACTTTCGTAAATGGCATTCCCCATTATCCCTGAGCCCAGTTGTGAATCTCTTATTAATGATAGGTTAATTGGATAATACGAAGGGAGTAGTGATCGTGTCATCAGCTAGAAGACTGATGACGGTTTAGTCGAATCTCTCGTGCATTTCCATAGTCGATTGTCGTATGCTTGAATAAACGGAATAGCTGGGTAGCTCCTTGATTCATGTGATCTCGAGCTTTGGTATATATCGACCGGTAATTGCAATATTCTGTGATGAACGTAATCACTCCTCAAGATGCTTGATGTGTCTCAAACGATATTAAGAGTCAATAGCATCTAATATCGATCGATTAAAATTAATTTACTCTCTCGCGTAAAATTGTGAAAATTAAAAGCGTGCAAGCATGCATCAAGTAATATCATATTTTCACCTATTTACTTTATTTCCTGATAATTGGATTTTATTGGTTTTTTAAACTTTTTTTTCAGACTAAATTCAAATTAATAAATAACTTTTTTTTTAAATAATGAAATTTTTTTATATATAACGTAAATTTATGGTTAATTAAAGGATCAAGTGAAAATACTTCATTATCCAATAAATAACTCTCGTATAAATACTCTCAAATATTGAATAATATAATTGTGTTTTGATATCAATAAATATTGAAAAGATAATGAATTAACATGATGCAATTTATCATTATTTTATTATTTAATTTTTCTTCTTCGTAATAAAATCAAAAATTGTTGATTAATTTTTTTTTTGTTTAATTTAAAACTTGATAGTTTTAAATACTTTTTAATTTCTATTTTAAAATCTTTGTTGAAATTTTTTTTTAACCAGCCATAAAGCTCTAGTATAAAGTACCGTTATAGGAGCTTTCTCAGGAAATAGACATAAAATGGTTAGAAAGAGGATATAAGAAAAAATTGGAAAAAAATTCAACGGAAACTCACTTAAGTTGAGAGTATCTTGAGCGAATAACGATTAGTGAAATTTAAGATTAGCATTATACTCTGGGAAATCTTGTCGTTTTGTGCAACGTAAAGCTGGTATTAAAGAGAGTGAAAGAGGATATGTATAATAGGTTTGAAAAATTGAATAAATAAGAACATAAGGTGAGAAAGTTAGTCGATAAAGGTGGGAAGCTCATTTGCATTGCGTGACGATGCATTTTCTTAAGCTGCAAAATTATACATGTCAAAATTTTCATGCAAGTTAACAATATATGATAGTACGTTTTATACTACAACACTCATTCATCTCTCTTTTTATTTTTTCTGTTAATTATTAATCTCGATTCACTTGCTGTCTTTTACTTAAGACTTTTTTTATTATTTTTATTCCTTGACGTAATTTTTTTCTTTTTGAACACTAACGACGCCAGTCTGGACGTCATTATTGATTAAGTAAAATACGTGGTAGCATGGCACGCCATAATTTCGTCCAAGGTAGTACCCCTCTGTATAAAAAGCTATTTTTAAACCAATTTACTGGTACATTTATTTTATTTTTTTTTCCTCTCTGAGTATGAATAATCATAATATAACTATAAAAACTTTTGCCTTGCATTGAAATTATTTTTTTTACACAGATAAATAGTTGATAGATAAAAGAGAAAAAAAAATAATTCCCTTATTTTCTCAGCAATGACATTTTTAATATAACATCTTAAATTAAAAATTTATGAAAAAGAAGTAAAATATATTTAATAAAAATTCAAAATCGATCTGATTTAAGATTAATATTTTCTAAAACTTGATATTTTTTAACTTTTACGTTATTTGGCCATCAAAAAGTTATTTTAATTCCCTTTGACTTTGATACCAAATTTTCGACGAGTGTACTTTATTCCTCCCTTTGATGGATGGTTCCATGATAAGCTCGGATTTCTATTGATGTGTACATGTCCTTGTATCTAGAGTGTGATTATTGAAATTCCCATAAAAGCGATAGACTAGTTTTACAAAGCTATTATTATGATCATGATTCGGTATAAAAATTATTTGTGGTAATTTTTTAGAAAGCCTCTTTATAACCATTTAAAAATGTTATCAATTTAATATCTCAATATCTTAAGTAATAACTAACTATGTTTGCAATAAAAATCATTCCATAAATTTTTATTTAATTTGAATTCAAAGAGAAGCTTTCGATTCAAGAATTAAATTCAATTTAATATTAAACTAAAAGAATAATAAATTAATCTGTAAATAATCCTGATATAAATTTTTATGAAATTATAACTCGTTAAATGAAACAATATGTAGCATTGAAATTTTTCTTCGAATTATTTTACTAATTTAATATGTCTTCATTCCATACTGTGCTTTATATTGCTAAATTAATTTGAGGATATCTCGCAATTGACTGGACAAATAAATTGCTCGTTTCCTAATTTAATTTGATTATTCATTACCATTCAATCGATTTTATGAATTATTTACGGTTGAATAAAATCCATTTTTA